TCTCGAACTTCTGGGCTCAAGCAATCCTCCTGCCTCGGCCTCCCAAAGTGTTGGGATTGCAGGTGTGAGCAACTGTGCCCGGCCTCATCATTAATTCTAAGACAGCAACGTTTAAAAGACAAAGTTCTCACAATTTAACCAACAGAAGAAGAAATTCTAAGTTTTAAGATAAAGTTCTACTGAGAAGGCTCATCAAGAAATATGAGGAATATTAGTTATTAACTAGGGACTTTGAAACCTCTTTAAACTACTCCTAGATGTTCTACAGCACAACCAAGTGTCTGTTCCAATGCAATAAACAAAGATATGGGAGATCCTAGAGATCCTTTTGGTCTAAAGAGAGCCCTTTAAACTTAAAATGTGTGGTTCCAAAACGCTTAAGCCCCAAAATGTTATCTGCATTCATCACTATTTATTTCCAGTGTTAACTTTTAAGCTAGTGTTTCTTCTTGACAATTGTGATATGTTATGAAGATAAAAGGGCTGTTCTTTCAGAATAACAATTGTACTGAATACATTCTAAATGATTCAGTACACTGAGAGCACTCAACCATAACTCACCATCATGAAAACACAGAATGTTTACCAGAATATCTACTTCTGTTTGTCAAATTCATATACACAACATGATTTTGACACAAGCCGGCCACATTTATAAGAATATCCCTAGAGTATCAAAAAGACTTATAGTGTCTAGTAGAATCCAAACCTGATGAAAATTTAAAAGGTAGCCACACATTCTTTCTTTGTAGTCTTTGGCTATCCAGTTTAATCTTTCATTTTAAAAGCCAAGGGGCAAAATGTTAGTGGGTACAAGAGTCTCTATTATAATATGCATTTTCTGTCAGAAATATTTATAATTTTAATCAATGATAATTAAAAATCAAGGTTTCCTGTTCAGGTTGTCTCCTCATCCTCCAAGAACCCCCCCCCAAAATCCTTTTTTTAAGGAAATAAGCAATAAACAAATTAAAAGAATTAAATTTCCGAATGCCTGAGAGTAGATAAAAATGTATCACAAAGAAAAACTAATTGATTTCAAGAGAAGGAACTCTAGTTTAAAAGACTGATCAGTTAACTGCATAGAATGCAGGACCTTGTATAGACCTTACTTCAAACTATTAAAAATAAAAAAACTAATGAGGTCATCTGCTTATTTGATGATATTAAAGAATTATTTATTCTTCTAGATGTAGCAATGGTACTATGATTACGTCTTTAAAAAGCAGCTCTTATCTTTTATAAATGCATACTAAAATATTTATAGATTGCATAACATCTGAGATTTGGTTAAAACTAAGGGGTTGGAGGAAAAGATAAAACAACAATGGCCATGCTACTAACTGCTGAAGGTGTTAAAGCTGATTGACAGTAAAGACAGATTCATCTACCACTTTACTTTTACTTTTGCAATTTTCCATAATAAAAGGTTTAAAAATAAACAGAGAGAAAAAACTATAACCTGTAACAGATGGTAGGAGGCAGACATGCAGTGAATATGAGAGATAAATCATGGTCCCAATAGAACCCTGGATCAGAGAGAATTCATGGTCAGAAGAAATGAAGGCCTAGAAACCGGAGTTAATTAAACTTCTTTCTGTAAGGAAGGTCTAGGCCAGGCACTTTGGGAGGCTGAGGAGGGAGGATCCCTTGAGTCTAGGAGTTCAAGACCACCCTGGGCAATATAGTGAGACTCTGCCACTTAAAAAAAAAACAAAACAAACAAACAAAAAACACTAGAAAATCTAGTCAGTTCCACTTTTTCTCTTTACTCTTCCCCTAAAATAAAAAGGGGACATGTTTTCAAAGAAAACAAACATATCTGGAGAGAACCAGGCTTCCTAAGGTGAATGTTGGCTCTACTAATTCTAGCATTGGTAATATTCCTGGCCTAAGAGCTAGCTCTCAAAATACTCACAGAAAAGTAAAGCCAAGCCCACCAGGTGATGATCCATAACCAAAGCTCCCATTCAAGAAACAATCAAGAACAAGACATGAAAAAAAAAATAATAAGATGTGAAAAAAAACTAATGAGAAAGAAAAGGGTCAGAAAAACTGACCCTTGAGGAAATCGATAATTCAAACAACAGAAAAGAATTTTTTAATTCCCTATTTTGCATCCATAAATTAAGAATAGAATCCTAAGAAAATGCCACAATCAACTCTTGGAAAAAAACTGATTGCCAAGATTCCATAGAGGGGATGGAAAATAAAGAAAATCTCCCAGGATACAGAGTAAGAAAACAATGAGACGGAACACATTTTTTAAAAGTCTAAGATACAGGGGATACAGACAGTCCAGCATCCTAGTAACACAAGTTTCAGGAGAAGGTGATAGGAAAAACATGAAGGAATGTACCAAAAGGAAAGCAGCAGCAATTTTCCCAGAAAAAGAGATACATGAATCTTTAAAAGGGTTAATCTGATACATGGGAAGATGATGCAATTTGAGGCTTATCCTCATATAATTACAGAACATCCTAAAGAAAACATGCTAAAAGCTTTCAGTGAGAGAGAGAAATAGGTAATCTATAAATAACATCTCTGCTACAATTAAACACATCTACACATGGTTCCCAAAACTTCTCTTGTACATATGCGCTCACCAGAATGCCACTGTCTCTTGTCTTCACTTAACCTTCCCTGCCTGGCTTTCGAAATGCAGTAAAATCTTGTTCTTCTGGGAAACATTTCATCACGCAGGTTATCTAAAATGATTTCCCCTCGTGCACTTTAATCTGACATTCACTCCATATTACCTTATGCCTTACTAAAATTACCACAGCCAATTGGCACTTCTTGGAATTTTATTTAAACTGTTGGTTCTCAGAAAAAAAGAACTCTGTCTTACAATTTTTTTTTTTAATCTTGCAAAGGATCCTGCAATCCAGGAGATATCAAATGCCAAGGAGATCTGAAACCAGATCCTGTGACATATCTTAACTTCATTAGGTTGCTTATTTCATCTTATCTTTTCCTAAATTCATGAATAAGTTTTATATTCACATCCGTAATTATTAAAGTTCAAGGAAATTTTAGGAGAAAAAAAACATGTAAATGGTAAGAGGTATCTTACTTCAAAACTCCCACAAACTACAAGTTATGTTTTTCTAACTGCAAGCACTCATCCTAAACAGAAACTAACAATGGCTTTTAGTGCTGATGGCAAACAACTCAGAGGAAGAGTACAAAAGGATACCTTTTGGAAGGGGCTGGGAAGGTAGAGGAGATAATGCTGTTCTAAGTAATAAAACAGTTATCTCTGACCAGTAACAACGCTAGCAGTTACCTATTCCTAACCCAGAACAATTGACCTGTACAATAAAAAACTTCCAATAAAGTCTGGGTCTCAAATTTTTACATACCAGAATCAAGCTCTAAAGATTCTACCATAAGGTAAAAATACCTATCACCACGTCCTTTCAAACTTTAAATACTTGCTGAGAAGAAACAAAGGGCGAGAAACCTAGCTGGCTATAGGTTTATTATAAAACATTACTTAAGAACAAAACAAAAAATAAAACCTGAACTCAACTTTGGAAGAAAGTTTTTTTCCACCCTGTGTTTACTATTGCTTAAAAAATTTTGCTCCATGAATTCCACATACATAAAGAGACTCCAGAGGGAAGACAGTACAAATAGATGAATGTTTTTCCAGTTCTAATTTAAGTCAGGTTGTCTTTCTCCTTGTCCAAAAAGGCTTTGGAAAAAGAAATATCTGGTAAGTTTGGTGATTACTGCTACATCCTTTCCTTCTCAGACTTCAAACATATGGTTCAGCTAGTAACTACGGTAACAGAAATGAGCTACGTTAAATAATTAGTTTTGTACTAGCTTTCACTACAAATTCTAAGAAATAAGGAAGGAGGTTCTTTTAAGAATTGTTTCCTTGCTGCTGAAATTCTGACTAATTAATAAATACTAAGTTTCCTTCCTCATGAGAGCCCCGTTTCAGAGAAGATAAAAAGGGTGGGACTCTAGGCTGAGCTCTAACAGGAAGTATAAAATTATGAACACTAATCTAATAAAATTGATAGATAATTGAGAAAAATAAATTGTTACTACACTTCTTATTTAAAATATCTTTCATTCCCTCTAAGGCTACAAGTGAAAGTATAAGTATACATATACATACCACACCCCACTCCCTTCTGGACATTGCTGTTTTAAAAATATTTTAAGCATCTCTTTTGCAAGACACTACCTTCTACCAATTTGTTACTGTTTGTAAATACAATGGATACCAAATTCTGAAAGAAAAGAGCAATAAAAGTGCCTCTTTGGGAAGAATAAGAGTATTTTAAGCTTAATAAGGTCTAGATGCAAATTGTTGAGAAATTATTTTTTTTTTAAATAATGTATCTGTCAGCTTTTTAGTCATACCTTACACCACTTGCTTTATAGTTCTCAATATCGAAACTGGCTCAAAATTATTTTTATGGATATGGTTATAAAAGTACAGTCACTGGCCTTCATTTTCATGATAGGTTAGGATGGGAAATAAGAAGAGATTTTTTAATATTTCACATCATTTAGATTCAACTGAAGGCTAATGTAAAATACTGTTCTGAAGGTATTGTTTTATATTAACTAAGATACTCTAATAATATTTTCACTAAGACGCTACAATATTATTTCTATTGTTTAATTTAAAAATCCAGTAAATGAAATAACTACTGATATCTGTAACTCACATGTACACAATTCTTTCAATTTACTATGACATGGAAATCTTGCAGGAATCTAGCTTATTAAGATGGGACTCTATTTTGTCACTAAGTGGTGAAGATTTGTACAGTTGGACAGACGACAGTTAAATTTCCTAAATGCAACTTGCAATTTAACTGGAACTCCAGAAGGAAAAGAATAAACAATATTCCCAGAGAGTTTAGTCAGAGAAATTACACTGACATCTCATAATTGGAAAAATCCATAAAATACAATAGCTTTAAAATATTTGCTTGAGTTGAGCCTTTTATTTGATTACCAAGAATACTCACATGTGTGGGTTTTGAACTCCTGTAGGATTGGGATTCAGAGTAAACCTTGCTGTAGATTTGAAAGGTGGATTTGCAAAATTCAACTTCAGTGCTTTGCGTTTACCTGAGAAATAACAAATAAAAAGTAAAAGTTTCAAGTACTACAAAACAGGTACTATTCTGAGGGCATAAGAAAGTCACACCAAAAGGCAAGAGAACTTGCTTTAACAAACAGTTAATATAGGACAATATTTTGAAAGGCAATGAGGAATTTCTCAGAACTAAGAAAAAATAAAATAAAGTTGTTACTAACTACAAATCATTCACTAGGTATGATACAATAGATAGAATGCTTATCATTTCAAGTTTCCATTATTCAGGGAAGTTAATACTTTTGCAAATGAAAATACTATTATAAAAATCAATTATCTCAGCAGATATACTGAAAAATTCTAAAAATATTACCATCTATCCAGTGTTATACTTAACGCCCTCAGTTTAATAAATATCATTTTCCCTCATTTTAATTAATATAAACTGTTAACAGAGTGAAGAATCTGAAAAATTGCTAAAAACATCACGGTAGAGTAAACTTCAAGTTAGTAACACAAGTATTCTAAATAATTATTTCCACGAAGCTGTTTCCTTGGGGTAGGAAGGGAAGAGGTACCAACGTTTTTTATTACCTAAGTAAAACCACCATTGTAGAAGAGCAGAAAATGCAAAAAAAGATCAAATATATTAAAAATGTTACATATACATCTATACAATACATAGGGTTAAAATTTTACATAAACTCATCAATCCAAGTACCTCAAAATAATCAGTTTACTTTCTACTGCAGATTTTTTCTATACATAGATACGGACATGTATTTTTTCACTACAGTTGAAATCAGACCATGAAACTACTTTGTAAAATGCTTTATTCACTGACATTTCTTTCTATATCAGTAAGTCTTACAGAATCATTTCTTTAGGACTTATAAGGATACTTTGTAACAGAATTGAATTTTTTAAGCATTTGCAGCATATCTTGGTTTCACATTCACCTTAGGGACACTTTTTCCTGCACTCACTCTCTAGAGTTTATTATACAGTTAACTACTCAAAAAACATCTCTGCAATCCAAACACTTTCTGACCTCAGTGGATGAGGATTTACTAGAGGGTTCAAACTGTAAACGTGAGATCTGAAAATCTGACAGAGCCACACTGGATGGAGAAGATGGCAAAGAGACAAGAGCACAGAGCGCCTTGCCACGGCTCCTAGATGAGCTTGCAAAGATGAGCCTCCTTTCTACCAGATCATGTGAATTCCCGTGAAGACCAGACACATCCATTTGCAGAAATAAGGAGAGTACACTATGACTTTTCCACATAAGGTAGAGGAAGGACATTCAAACAACATGTGCAAAGGGTACGCTGGGAAAAACAGCAGATATGACTGTATTTAAAAAAAAAATAAAACCCTCAGTATATTACCAAAAAAAACAAAACTAAAAAAATTAAACCTTGGGAAAATTCTGACAATACAAAAATAAGTAGCTCTAAATTATACAAAGACATCATACAAACCAAGAAAAACAGAAAAAAAGTGATAAGAATATGAGCAGTAAAGACAAATTAAGAGAAAAAATATAAAAAGGCACTAACACCAAAAACATTTTAAGCTTTTGTTCATGTGAAAATGGCAAAGTTTGAAGGTTTTATATTATATATACATAATGATAACATTATGATCAGAATGGCTAGGCAAAATAATCACTATTAAGATATACTGCTGGTAGAAAAACTTTCTGTGAGAGGTTCAGCAATACACAACAAAAGGTATTTTTGGTAAATATGCTGTTTTACTTCTTGAAAACTTTTCTTTAGAAAATATTTAAATACAGAGGATTACTCCCAGGTCTTGAAACCAAATGGAATTTGCCCTGGGTAATACTCAGTTTTACCCATGCCTGATTTAAATGATTTTGGTAAAGGGATTCAGGATTTTTGAGCTGATAATATTTAGGTGAGATTTACATTTGAGTTAATACTGCAACGAGTCAAAATTTTGGAGGCGCTGGGGTAGGGTGAATGTATTTTGCGCATGGGAAGGATATGAATATTTGGGGCCCGGAAAGCAGACTGTAGTGGGCTGAATGGTGGTCCCCAAAGATACTAAGCCCCTAATCTCTGGAACCTGAACCTGTGAATTACCTTAATGTGGCAAATTGTTTACAGAAAAGATTAAGTTAAGGAACTTTGCTATCATAATTTGAAGAAACTCAATCTTTACAAACTCCTCAAATCAAAAACTGAGCATATGTCATGTAGTTTGTGTTTGAAACCATCTGGCACATCATCCATTATCTCCATGTGAAGAAAAACGAAAATAAGACTCAGACAAAATGCAAGACAAGGACAGAACAAAGAACTATTGTGAAAACTATTGAAAGAAAAACAAAAATTGGTCCTTTCTTCAAAAGCCCAATTTGACAGAATAGTAGCTAACCTTACCAGATAAACAATAAAATATATTACAACAATTAAAACTTCAGCTGTTTTCTTGAACATAAATATTTATACCGAATACACAGAGATTCTTTTTCAGCATTGCATTCACATTTAAATAAAAACTAAATTGAAAGCTTTAAAGGCCATTAACTTCATAAATGTACACCATGATTAACAGAATGTGATTTAAGTTACATAAATTAGATTTAAACACATTCTGCACTTCAGAGACATCTGCAATTATCTTGAAAAAGTCCAAATTTATATTCTGATCATTTACTAACAAAATACACTAAATAATTCTGCAAGTTTTGAAGGCTTTCCAAGCAAAGATCACTCAGAGCCTAAAACAAGTGCCAAGGAGACTGGCACATGATCCAGCTACACCGCTGGGTCTCACCTGTGTACCCCAACTCTTCAAATACTAGTCAGTTTAAGATAAACTTCTAAGGCAGTTTTGAGGAGGAAAAGGAAGGCCCCAAAATGTCAACCGATGGTGAGATTCAAGGAAAGTAGAAAAATAGCTTTTACAATACTCAGGAGAAGCTATTTCTGGCTATCTGGAGGCATCTTCTCTCCCACTCACTTTCTCTAAGTACCAGAGCCTCTACTGGGGCGGGGTCCTTCTCTCCTTTACTTCAAGGGTCCCTCAAAAAAATCAAACTGAAAGGCAATCTGTCACCATGTATTCAGATACTTTTAATGACAAAAAATTACAAGCAAATAGGACATTAATATGAATTTTTTTTTCAAAAACCTGAAATAACTTTCACAGGGAGAAAGGAGGGAAGTGATACTATAAAGGACCTGTGAAGATTTTTAGATGCTAACAAAGATTGAAATATCTGTACAACAGGGTTTAAAATAACTGATCAAAAACATTATGAATTTGTGATTATAATAACCCCTTTGGTGGGACTGTCATAAATCAATTTCTAACCAGTCAAAACAGATAAACATCATCCCTTTGACAATAGCAGGAAAGAAATGAGGCATCAAACATCCTAAAATATCTATACAGAAGGGGTTTCCTGCGAAGGATTCTCTGTATACCTTAAACCTTAGATCTGTGCCTGATACAGAAAACACTTTCAAATGTTTATTGATTTGGGAATAAAGTTGACATGGACAGCCTCAGACAACTTAAGTCTATATGATTATTGGCTGGAGTAAATCTTTGTTGTTTGCAAACAAGGATCCTGACTTAGGAAAACAGTACCTGTCCTCATCACACTTCCAAAGCACTGTTCTACCCCTCAAAGCAATACTGCCTACCTTTTTTCATGCCATGGCTTGTTTGGAAAATAAGAACATTTGTTCAACATGCTGGGAAAATTAGAACTGCAGCTGGCCCAGAGGCTGGCCTAGGCATTGAGCAGTCCTGTCCCCACTCAGTCACTTCAAGGCTGAGGGGAACAATCTGTCAGAATCATCCTTGAAATTCTGGTTTCAAAACTCTGCCTTAAGAGAACAGCCAGCACCATTCAAACAAGCTTTCCACAGCATCTGCACACAGTGTCTTCCTCAAACTTCTCATGAGAAAAGCACTCCCAAACACGGAATCATCCAGAATATTAAGAACTGTAATCCTGAAGAAAGGGATTTGGTCAAGTGTATCCACACTCACTGAGGCCTAGGAATATCCTTTGTCTAACTGTGAGCAACTCACTGACTAACAGAATATTGAAGTTGGAGAGAAGACACTTTCCAGGTTTATTTAGCTTTAAAAACAAGATGATAAAGAGCCCTAAACATTCTCCCTCCACCAACTTCTCAAGCAATACAACCCTTTTTAACATCGCTTTCCACAACCAGCTAAGCTGAGCATAGTTTGGTTCGATCTTGGCCAAAAACCCCAACGGGGCAGTTGAGAGTTCACTACTCAATACAAAATCTATGGAATCTCTGCAATCTAGGTTACCAAAAGCATCTCTCCTTTACCTTTTACAGAACAGCAAAAGGTGTCAGCTCCTTTACTAACAATCAGCATTATTTAGTTTCCAAAAACATCAGTCTGTCCCTCAGGGAGAAACACTGTTTACACTGGGCTCACCTTACCATCCTCTCTCATCCTCAAGTCTGTTTCTATCAAATTGTAAACAATTTTCTGCTTTAAAATTTTAACTACCTTGATTTATCTTTGAACTCTGCAAATCACCTATAACGGTACCTCAGACAAAATAGCAGTTCAACAAATATTTATTAAATTACAAATATTAGTAGATTGTTTTTCTTATCAACATTTCACTGCTCCCCCATCCCCCATCTAATGGGCTTGCTTTGTTTCATTATATCATAGGAAAGCAAGATTCTGTTACCTGTACGGTCAGAATCAGAGAACTAGAATCACTCGAATCCTCCCGCCCAGCCTGTAAGAATGGAGACCATCTCTACAACATTTTAGCCAATCCGCATATCTTCAACACCACCGATATCACCATATTCGAGAGCCCTTGTTTAACATCTGTTGTAGTAATAGCAAAGTACTTTATTGTTCATGGTAATGAAGATCACTGACGGACCTACAATAGCTGCCTCTAGAGTATAGCTTTTTAGATGCAGTGATGAGTTCACTGTGGGTTCTTTGGTAGATTGTCACAAAAATAACCACCAAGGAATCACAG